GGCCTTGTCAATTAGAAAAGACTTGTGTATTTTCCATGCCAACACTGTTGTCCTTCGTTTGGACCCCACCTTTTTACCAAAAGTTAATTCTTATTTTCATCGTGCCCAGGAACTAGTTCTCCCGGACTTCTGCCCGTCGCCCAGGCACCAACGTGAACTGGAGTGGCACACTCTCGATGTCCGGAGGGCTCTCCGTCGCTACATTCGTAGGACGGAGTCCTTTCGGAAAACGGAAGCGCTTTTGGTCTCATTCCATCCCAGGTCCTTGGGTCAAAAGGTGTCTTCGTCTACCGTGGGTAGATGGATCAAGGCGTGCATCTCCACGGCTTATTCTCATCAATCTAAGCCGGTTCCATCTGGGATTTTGCCTCATTCCACTCGTAGCGCGGCTACTACTGCTGCCTGGGCCACTCAGGCGTCAGTGTCAGATATATGCCGGGCCGCCACTTGGTCCTCGGTGACACCTTTCATAAGGCATTACAAGGTGGACTCTTTTGCCTCCGCTGAGGCTTCCTTTGGCCGTCGAGTCCTGCAGAGTGTCATTGTGGCACAGGACTCTGGAGACTGTTGATGTCCCGCCCTTGTATTTTGAGCTTGGGTATATCCCAGCTATGGACTGCAGGAGCAGTACTCTGGAAAACGAACATTGTCTTACCTGAATGTTCCTTTTCAGAGTACTGCGACTGCAGTCCATCCCCTCCCTATGTTTTTCGTTGGGGGGGCCGTTCCAGTTGTTGTTTTCTATATCATTTTTTTACATCTTTTCTGATTGTTACCCCTCTTTTGGCCGCGCCTTCGTTCAAAGACTGGTGCATTATGGGAATGGGAGGTGTGGCCACAGCACGGAGAGAGACTCTAATTAAAATATCACCCAGTCAAAGTGAAGCAAGAGGAAGAGATCCCAGCTATGGACTGCAGTCGCAGTACTCTGAAAAGGAACATTCAGGTAAGACAATGTTCGTTCTCCTTAGTTCAGCTCATCTGTTCTGTTCCCTATGGTAGTAGCTATATCTGTAGGATAGGATTAGTTGGTTCTTTAGCAGGCCAGTCTTTGAAAGCTATAACAGTTTTCATTTAATAAAAGCAATTTTTATTAGACTGCCATTAGATAATATTTCAGTTATTTAGATTTATTCAAACCCATTGTTTCCCTTGTATAATGCAAATTGATGACCTGGTAGCAGCTATCTTGCTGACCTTTGCTTTGAACATTGCCTATCTTATAAAAGTCCTTGGGAAAATGTTGCTCTGGTTTTTCTACTTTTTATGCAATCCACACAGTATGTGTTACTCATCTTCTGTTTAGTAACAGTATTATTAGAGCAGGTGGCAATAGCTAGGAAATTTTGACAGATCTTGAAAAAGCTAAATAGGACTAAACCAGTTTTTTATCTGGATAAGCAACTTTCAGGAAATTCCAAGGCTGTAGACCTGTGAAGCCGAACCTATGGCACGCGTGCCACAGGTGACACGTGTAGCCATATTGGTGGGCACGCGAGCTTAGCTCCGGCGTGCATGCGTGTGCCCAGAAACAGGCTGTTTCCTGCCTCCAGAGGGCGTGGGGGGTGGGGAAGGCCTGTTTTTCTCTTTCCCCAGGCTCCAGAGCCTTTCTAGGAGTCTGGGAGGGTGAAAACGGCTTTCCCCCACCCCCCGTAGGCCCTCTGGAGCCCAGAAACGGTGGGACTGGAAGTTGGCAAACAGGCTGTTTTTGGCCTCCGGAGGGCCTCTGGGGGGGGGGGGGTTGCCCTCTCCAGACTCTTAGAAAGGCTCTGGAGCCTGGTGAGAGAGAAAAACAGACCTACCAGGCCATCACGTGCCAGGAGTAGGGAGAGTGTGGGGAGGGTCGCATGCGCAGGGGCGGGGTGCATAGAATTATGGATGTGGACATGCACGCATGTAAACCCCCCCCCCTGCTTCTGGCACGCGATGGCAAAAAGGTTAGTCATCACTGCTATAGATGATATTGGGATGTCAAAAATATATCTCAGTAGAATGCAGTGGAAAGGTTTTGAGGTTTCATCTTGCTAAAAGTACTGCACTACTGATTTACAGAAACTGTAAATCAGTTTCTACTGATTGAAAATACATATTAATAGCAAGCTTAAGTGATATAATTCTAGATTGATATTTTTGAATTGATATAACATCAAGCAGAACTTTCCCAACAAGTAATGCTTCTAGAAAGAAACATGAATGTGCACAAATAAACTTTGCCAGCTATTTTTGATTTAAAATAGGGTCTACCAGATCTGAGTTGCAAAACCCAGATCCAGCAAAGATACAAATGTTTTCCATTGTTTGCCATCTAATGGTTGTCCAGATTTTTGCAGTCCATATCTGATAGCCTTCTTTAAACAGAATATATAATAAAACCTGTTTTTTGAATTAAATTACAAGCAAATTAAAATCAATGCAGTTTAGTTATATCTCTTATTGTATATCAAACATGTTTTTAAAGAGCTGACAGAAAAACAATATAGCAAATAAAAATATAATTTCTAATTTAATGCAGTGTTTTTTTCTTCTTCAAAATATATTGGCAATAGTGAATAATTTGTATTCTCTTTTTCTGACAGGTATAACCAAGAGTTAAAAGCCAAGGAACTGGAAAAGCAACAGTAGAAATTCTAGTTAATTTCTTCTAATCTCAATGTAAACTACTTCCTAAGGGACCTACAGTACTTTTAATCCTGTTCAATTGCCCAGTGTGAATTTTTACTAAAAGTGGTAGAGCATGTTTTTCTATAAAGTTAGAAAGCAGCCTCTTTGCATTTAAATAAACTCTTTAATAAGCTCCTAGTCTATTCTTAAACCCAAATGCAACTGGTGCAAGTATTTTTAAGGACAGAAGCAAGATGACTTTTCCAACTGCTCAGAAACCTGAATTTGAAGGGGAAACGGTGATTTAGGGGACTCGGGTTCTCACACCATATCTTTCACTAGCAACTTAAATATAATCTTTTCCAGGCTCATGGAATTGCCACTTCACAATCAGAAAAAGACATATTAGGTTTCAGGAGGTGCATAGATGCCAAATATATATTCTTCTTCACAGTAACATTGCTACAGTCTTAATAGCTATAGATCCAATGGCCCAAACAGCACAAAACTACTGTAAATCTGGGCAGAGGGTAGGAACGAATTCATATATTTTGCTATATTTTAGAAATGCTAACTTTTTCAAAATATGAAAATTTGTCAGAATCATAGGCTCATATAAAAAATATTTTGGGATACATGTGCAAAATGCCTGTTGTAGACTGGGATTTATATTATATTTTGTTTTTACATAGCTAGAGAAATGTTACTTTTTCAGCATGTTCCTGAACTTCATAGACCCAAAGACAGACGTAGGAAATAATATTGGTAGATATAACAACTATAAGTGAACATGTACACAGAAAATGAAGCATTTCGTATTTGCTGAGTTATTTTCAAGTGGCTTACTTTTATACCTATATGCAAGGCATATATTCAATTACTGCAATATATCCTACATTAGTCTGTCCTTGAAGACCATCCAGAAGTTGCAACAGAGCTAAAATGTGATGACGTACTTCTGAGTGTCCCACACGTCGTTGTGTTCTATCACTGTTGCATAAACTGCATTGGTTTCCAATTGTTTTCCAAGTACAATTGAAGGTACTAGTTATCACTTTTAAAGCCCTATATGACCCATGGCCAGATTGTTTGCCCAACTGCCTCTCCCTTAGAATATCGGTCCATCCCATCAGGTGAGATAGGGTGGGGGGTCACTTTAGGTGCCTTCCCACAACACCTAGTCAGGTCCTGGGAGCATGCTTTCAACATAGCTGCCCCTGTTCTTTGAAGCAACCTCTCACCTGAGATGAGGGAGTGTACCCTTTTAACCCTTCTTAAGGCCTTGAAGACCTGATTCTTCCGTTAAGCATTAGGGTAGGATGGGGTAATGTCACAGGATTAGTAGCATGGATTACTATAGTGCCTCGGTGGGATTTTATTTTTATTGGTTTTGCTATCAGCCATCTAGGATTACTATGCAAGATAGGCAGCCAGTTAAGTTCTTTAAATAAAAAATATGAGATCTGAGACTCTAAGATCTCTCTCACTCCACATCATTAGCCCATGTTCCTCTCTCAGGACCCTCCATCTTCTCTTACATTTCTTTTCCTTACTTTCTTTACCCATTAGCTCCCTGGCCCATGTTTTTGCTCATTCTAGGCCTTGTGCTATTCCTTCTTGTGTGTGAAATTGCATATCTTTGCTCCAGTCGTCTTGCTGCTGATTCTCATCATGGCTAAACAGATTTATTTCTGGGATAACTTATTATGATTTCCAAGCTTTCCTGCTTACCTGGTAATATCACTGGAATCTTTTTCCTTTTCTTCACCTTTCTTGGATAGATAGCAGCACTTCAAAATAAAGCAATTGTATATAACAATACTGCTCTTGCCTGATTGTATGGATGTATGGATATTTAATGCTCTAGAGACTTCATAGATACAGGGGAGGTTTCTATAAATAGGTTGTTGCTTACCGATTTTTTAAGAATTACTATCTGAGTTCCCTTTTATTCAGGGGGGAAATGAATAACACTAGAGCCCAGCAGTGTGAGTTCAACAATGTAAAGATAGGAAATATGCATCTTTAGATGCTGTATATCTATAATTCCCAGTACCATAAAATGAAAACATGTTTCTTTCTTGTAGGGAATGTATGTTGTAACAGTCTCTGCACCATGCTTTTCTGTTTCAAATAAAACTCATTTTATGAGGATAATGAGGATACTCATTTCTACCTCTCCGCTCCACACTCCATTTGGGTGCACTACTTGTGTTGCTCCAGTTTGCTCAGTGTTATATGTCATGTAAACCCACCGAGTTAAGCCAAAACAAATAAAATAAAACCTAGTCTGACTTTATATGATATGAATCCAGCCACTTGAATTCTGACTATTTATAAAGTACAAATTATTCCATTGTCTATCATAGATTGACAAATTGAGACTTACAACATACCACTAATGAAAAAAGTTTATTAAAATATTCACAAGAGTACAATATAAAGCTGCTTATGAGAATATGGAGAAGAAAGAAGACTTGTACAATAAAAAAATTCCAGTTTTTAAAAAGTGCAGAAACAAGGTAAAAAAGGGCTCAGTGTTGCATGGCATGGATTTACCTAGTGACAGGAAATCTTAGAACATCTAAGGTTTGGGAAGTTAACTTTCACAACCAGAAGTCATTTGTCTTTTATAGAAAAGTACAGCACCACAAAAACACTGCTCATACATAAGTTGAGAGATTTTTGTACCTTAGTTTGGAATCTGAATTCAATACATGAAAAGTGCAACTCTCAGCATTCACAAATAGAAACAATTAAGTGTTTTGGACAGTTACATGATTTTGTAATCTATTAAGACTTGGGTTTTAGGCTTGTATATTGATGACTGAATTACTACTTCTACCAAAATATACTAAGAGAAAGGAAACTGTAGTATAAATTGAGCTAGTTACAAGACAGAGTATAATTACTTGAAAAAATGATGCATCAGGACAAGTCTAAATGCCTGATGAAAGAAACAAAGATGCCATTGAATTTTATGTTAACAATTGGGATTGATTTTACCTTTTATGATTTTTTCTGAATAAATTCGAATTTAATTGTTCAGTTTGTTCACCTGAAGTATTGTTTAGGATTCAACTTTTTGTTCAAAAATTAGATTTCTTCATCTTCAAATGTAATTTTTTTGTAGGGGATATGAACATAGAAATTTAACTGACAGTAAACAACAGTATCATGATAAATCTGAGGTCTTTGGACTTCTAAAAATATGATGACAATATGGTTTATGTAATGAAGATCAAGGAATATTTTAGCACCATTCACAGCAAAGTTCAATGAGTTCAAACAAAAGAAGCAAAGCTTCTCATTACAATATTCCTGAAAAGACAACTTCTACATTAACATCTAAACCTCCTCATTCCCCCCCGTAAAACAGAAATCTCAGCATCAGCCAACTGTTTCTTGTCCACTCACTGAGGCTCCATTACTGAGGAATAACGAATTCCGTGGTGAATACCCTGATGAATGCCTTGTTCTTAATTAAAGTATGTAATATAATTTTGATACAGTGTTTCCATAAATATGGCTCAAAAATGTTACTCATTATTCTAAATCACACTTAAGACATTTAAAACAGATTTAAATATCTTTTGGTTAATTCTAAATAGCTGCTCAAGTGTTTAAATCTAGGGATATTTGGACAAATTTTCAGACAATTTAAAGTTTTGCATGAAATGTTCACACATAACCTCCACAAATATGGAGAGCTAACTGCACTGGTTAAAGATAGAAAACACTTCTTGTGTGCTGCACAGACTAGCAATTTAATACTTGCCAGCCCTTGATTCAATGAAAAAGCTCCATTTTTTAAAAGAATACTTAAACTTATTTTTCATGTATAAAGCTGAACAAACATATGAGCAGATATTGTAGACATGTAAAGTACTTCAGAAAAAAGCAATAATAGCACCAGTGTACCTGAAACACTGAGGTAGAGAGAAGGATGGAGAGCAGATTCAGAGTTGATAGGAATGACATCATAAAGATAAAAGGAGTGGAACAGACTTCTTCCACAGTAAAGAAGCATACAGCTATTTAAGTTTCAAAGTAAATTTGAATGAGATTTAAGAACTAATGGCAGTAAAACTGTCCTAACATACGTATATCTTCCATGAAATGCCATAAAAGATTAAACTGTACCATTTGTTTTTGCAACTGCAACATCAACCAGCCTTTTGTAACTCTTAGAAGTACACTATAGAGAGATTTATAGATTATAGAAAGGCACATCAAAATTAGCACCCTATTTTGCTCAAAGAGGTAACAGTGTTTCGTCTTTGTTGCCGAAACCAGAAAAGAGCCAGAAAAACACTTCAAGACATTTGTTACTGTTGCTGTCGAGCCCGTCACATCGCTCGACAACACAGGGATGGGAAGGAAGAGCGGTGGAAAGAGCAGAGCGACCTGCTATCCTGAGCGGCACGTCTGTTCATGGGGTTGGTAGTAGTAGCACCGGTGTAGGCAGTAAGGCCCGGGGACATGGGGTGCATCGGTGACATGGGTGACGGGGATTGCTGTTGCTGCTGGCCAATGCGGCGGATGATCGAGGCATTGAAGGGCATTCCGCGGCAGACGGCCAGCCGGACATTCGACGGAGGCAAATGGAAGAAGCGGCCCAGACGTCGCTGCTCCGCTGACGCGGCAAAGGGGTGGCGCAAGGGAGACGATACACAGCTGATGGAAGCCCAGGGCAGCCGACAGAGGCGCGGCAGCTGGGTGGGGCGGCATAATAAAAGCACTACGAGGCAAATGCTCATAGTGCCAACTTTGAACCATTGCGAACTCACCGTTTCCTCGGAGCTAATGACAGCATTAAACCAGCATTGCAACTCTTGAGTTACTCGTTTCGGTGTGCTTTGTGTCCCTCAGGAGAGCGTTTCCAAAGGTGGAGGGAGAGGAGGTGGGTTGAAGATGAGGAAGATGGAGAGTGGAGTTGCTCAACAGGGCCAGGACCCACCACCCTGGATATATTGAGAGAAAGGTTCGGGGAGGCCAGTTTCAGAGATGTGCCTTCATGGCAGCCGTGGGCGACAGGGGGGGGAGCCAGCTTCTACCTGGCCAGGACCGTCTGGGACAGACACCCGGTTTCGCTTAGCCAGCCCCAAGTTACACTTAGAGCCTACCCTCGGCAGACCCAGGAAGGCGGAACTTCCCTCCACCGGCACTCACATTCCATCTCTGGAGGATGGGTTAGGGCCTGCTGAACGGGGACTCTGTACTGCTCCCACTCAGGGTTCATGGGACGGACACACCGGTCCAGGGCATCATTTTGATACCCATGGAACCCCTGGGGCCCGTGTTACGTACCACAGGTTTGCCAGGTAGAGCCCGGTGTGGGGCCCCGGAGTATGGCCTCCCCAGACGATTTGGGGACCACCACCATTACAAGCGACTTTTGATGGGAGTCCGGACGGGGTGGCTATCTTCTTGAGCCAGGTCATTAGTTACATGGATCTGTATGGATGGTTCTACCCGTCCCAATGGGCTATGGTGGTCGCTATCATGACTGTACTGATGGGGGAAGCTGCAGACTGGGTAGACGACCTCTATAGTGACCATGCTCGGGAATTGACTGATGTCGGCATGTTTCTGGAGAGCCTTAGGGCTCTCTTTGAGGATGAGTCCAGAACGCAACTGGCTGAGGGAGAGCTGGTGTCTCTTAAACAGAGAGGAAGACCTGCCAAAGGAGTTCCAGAAAATAGCAGGGAGATTGTGGGCATGGCCTGAACGCATGCTTGTACACCAGTTTCACATAGGCTTGGACCGTGATTTGAGACAAGCATGCATTTATAGAAGTCTGCCACCCCGCCTTACTGAGTGGTTTAGGGCAGCCATAGACCTGGATGTCGGCCTGAAAGAATTCCGTTTCAGAGGTGTAGCAGGACCAACCCAGATGAGACGTGCTCCAGACAGACCCCCATCAACAAGAGACTCAGGGAGATCGATTGCAACTACTGGGACTTTGGACACCACCCAGAGACCACCATTCCGGTGTTTCAGGTGCAATCAAGTCGGCCATAGAGCCTTGGACTGCCCCCTACCTCCAACACAACCACCGACAGGTCCGACTCCAGAGACTGGCAGGAAGAGCCAAGAGCGGGCGCGAACAACCCCGGAGCATTCTAGAGTTGTGTCACAAGCATTGCACTCAGACAACGGAACACCAGCCAAGGAGGCCGGGGGTACAGCGGGACCTGGGGATCTCCCCATGGTGGTGGGAAACAGCGATGAGGACATCAACGACCCGATGGTAAGTGCTCCTATACGCCCCTTTGTAATTCCGGTCACCCTTCAGGCCATACACAACGCCACAGCAGTACGACAGGGAGCACTGATTAATTCCGGATGTACCTGGTGCCTGATGAGGAAGTCCCTGGCAGTCGAATTGGGCTTAAGCCTGGTCAGACTAAAGGACCCCATTAGATTTGAACAAATGGACGGGTCAATATTGGGTGGAATACCGGCTACCCATGTTACGGAACTGATATGGTTGAAAATAGGAGAACACTGGGAGTTTCTCCGGTTTGTGGTGGTGGATGTGATGATAGAACCCATCATCCTAGGATTGGCCTGGTTGGATAAATGGAAACCCACGATATGGTGGGAGTGGGGTTACAGGAAACTACACATTGAGCTCAGTCCTGAACCAGTTACGAAAGAACCGTGTGGACGAGCAGAAGATGGCTGGTCAACAAACTCTTTAATGGATAGTAAGCCTCTAGTGCTGGAGGTCCCAGATATATACGCGGATTTGGCGGACGTGTTTAGTGAGGTGGAATGTGATTCACTACCACTACATCGAGTAACAGACTGTGCCATAGAGCTGGTATCTGGGGCTAAGTTACCGAAGCCCCGTATGTATTTGATAACCCCGAAAGAATTAGAGGAACTACGTAAATATATAGATAGGAACCTGGCCAGAGGGTTTATTAAACCTAGTCGATCGCATATGGCTGCTCTGGTCCTTTTTCGGGAGAAGGATGGAGGTCTCCGTCTCTGTGTTGATTTTCGTGGCCTGAATGCAGTAAGCATTGGGAGGCATATTACAGTGGAAAACCATTTTTAATTATCCGCTCGGCAGTTATAAATTCTAGGTCATGCCATTCGGTTTGCAGGGTGCACCAGCGGTATTTATGCAATTAATTAATGAGGTCCTGCATGAATATTTGTATTGGGGAGTGTTGGTGTATCTCGATGATATACTCATTTATATGAACACTATGGAAGAACATACACAACTGGTATGCCGGGTGTTAGAGAAACTGCTAGAGGCCAAGTTATTTATTAAAGTGTCGAAATGCGAATTCCACCGCACTGAACTGGATTATCTCTGATATAGGATATCTGAAAAAGGATTGGGAATGGATCCCAATAAAGTCACCACCATATTGGAGTGGCAAGCCCCGGGGACGAGGAAGCAATTGCAGAGCTTCCTTGGATTTGCTAACTTTTATAGGCAGTTTATCCCAGCATTTGCCCTTATAGCATTACCCCTTACGAATCTCCTACGCACACGAGGGAGTAACGAAAAAGCAAGGCCAGGGCAACGTATAATATGGACCTCTGATTGTCAGAAGGCCTTCGAAGAGTTGAAAGCCCAGTTTGCCTGGGCTCCCATACTCCAATACCCTAACCAACAGAAGCCATTTGTAATGCAAGCAGATGTGAGTGATGTGGCCATTGGGGCTGTGCTACTGCAACCCAACGAACAAGGCCAATTACAACCATGTGCATATACCTCTAAAAAATTTACCCCTACTGAGAGGAGATGGGCCATATGGGAAAAGGAGGCATTCACTGTTCAATGGGCACTCCTTACATGGCGGCACATATTGGAGGAGGCAAGAACGCAATTCTGATGAGTCCACAGAGGCAAGTTGAGATATCTAGTTAGATGGAAAGGGTACCCATATGAAGAGGCTTCTTGGGTGCCCGTGGAGGACGTTAACGCAAACCGGCTTCTCAGACGGTTCCATAGAAAGAACCCACTGAAACCAGGGGCCGCTGTTGACTTGTCTACTTTATATCTCACAGAAGGACCCTTGGTGAAGGGGAGCCACCTCGTCACATCGTTTGACAACACAGGGATGGGAAGGAAGAGCGGTGGAAAGAGCAGAGCGACCTGCTATCCTGAGAGGCGCGTCTGTTCACGGGGTTGGTGGTGGTAGTACCGGGTGTAGGCGGTCGAGCGCGGGGACACAGAGTGCGTCGGTGATGGGGGATGGGGATTGCTGTTGCTGCTGGCCAACACGGCAGACGATCGAGGCATTGAAGGGTGTTCCGCGGCAGACAGACAGCCGGACATTCGACGGAAGCGTCATAGGCGAATGGAAGAAGCGGCCCTGACATCACTGCTCCGCTGACACGGCAAAGGGGCGGCGCAGGGGAGGCGCTACACAGCTGATGGAAGCCCAGGCGGCCTACGGAGGCGTGGCGGCTGGGTGAGGCGGCATGATAAAAGCGCTACAAGGCAAATGCTCATAGCACCAACTCTGAACCGTTGCGAACTCACCGTTTCCTCGGAGCTAACGACAGCATTAAACCAGCGTTGCAACCCTGAGTTACTCCTTTTGGTGTGCTTTGTGTCTGCTGACTTCGTTTTGTCCAGGAAGGCTGAGAGTTGCACTATAAAAATTACTTGATTAAAACTTTTATCTGTCTCAAAGTTTGTTTATGAGAGACTGCCTGTAAATTCCTTGAAGAGAACAATTTGCCTTCCATTATGTTGGAAACTAAAGCAGGTAAAGATTACTTCTCCTAGTAAAGGGGGACATTAGAGTGGAAGAAGACATACGTTCTATGAAAAATTAGATCTGTAAAAAAATGCAAAAATATTAATTAAGAGAAATCATGCAGAAGTAGTTCTTGTGTCCATTTCAAAAGTAACATAAAAAGTACCAATTCCATTAGAATATCCAAGTATTTCCAGTTTTTCCATATAACAATTGACAAATTGTCTAAAGGTGTAACATGAATGTTTGTTTTTTCCCCTTTTCCTAAATATATAATGAACTATTGGCCATTTATAAGCAGAATTATCATCATATTTTAACATGCAACATTGTTCTCATTTCTGTATGATTAAATAGACTATTTACACACAGTTCATATATAATCTCTTTCTCTCTGTATGCACATGCATTGGTCTTAGCCTAGGCATCAAAGGCCACATATGAGTTCTCTGGGTCAATTTTCTTCAAGCGATTCCAGTTTGAACTTTTGTTAAGCTTCGGATAGGTTGTAATCTCCTCAATTTTTCCGAATATCAGCATAGACCACAGACTCTGATTTGTTGATTCTGTCGCTGTAATGTCCTCCAGAGTGATCTAATTGTGCATAAATTACTGGTCCCTAAAAACAGAAAAAATAAACATGGTATAAACATTTAATTATTCTATCAGTGGCTAGTGAAAACTCAGAATCACATGCAGATAAAAACAAGGGATTTTATTTCCTCTTTTTGAAACCCAGTCTTAGAAATCATACCAATTATGTGGATTATTCCTGTAACCATCGATCTGTTGAAATAAACAAATATAAAATTCACAGCAAATGGCTTATAGTCCTTTGTTTTGCATTCTTCGTGGAGATAAGATCTTTTGTAGTTTATGTGGCAACATAGTCAAACACAGTGCAGAGAATGAACGCTTCTTCAAAAGTACATCAAGTAATCACAGCCCTACTAAATCAGTTCATTCACAAGATTCCACTTTTCCACACACTTACCATCACAGATTATAGGTATTTGTGTAGGTGGCATTTATAATTCAAGAAAAGGAAGTATATGGAATACCATCATGTAATCTGTCAGCCAAACAATGTAGGCTGGTGACCCCCAGGGGAAGGGCCTTCTCTGTGGGGGCACCTACCCTCTGGAACCAGCTGCCCCCAGAGATAAGGAGAATCCAAGACCTCGGTGCCTTCCGCCGTGCCCTTAAAACTTTCTTTTTTCAGCGAGCCGGGCTGGCCTAACACTTTTTAAAAATGTTTTTAATTGTTTTGTCATTGCTTTTAATTATGGGGCCAAATATATATATATATCTTTTTAATTATATATATATATATATATATATATATATATATATATATATATATATATATATATATATATATATATATATATATATATATAATATATATATATATATATATATATATATATATATATATATATATTATATATATATATATATATATATATATATATATATATATATCTTTTTTAATTGTATTTTAATGTTTGTAGTTTATGTTTTTACTTTGGCTGTACACCGTCCTGAGTCCTCAGGGAGAAGGGCGGTATATAAATTTGATATAAAATAAAATAAAAATAAAATAAAGAAAGGAGCAAGTAGCTGAAGAATAATTCCTAGGCATTTACATTTTACAACTTTGTGAATCTTTCTCAACAATATTCGGAGTACAAAATTATATTCGTTACAGTAACTTTGTCCCATATCTTTCAGAATAAGTCTCAAACCTTTAAGTGATAAGGTATAGCTTAATTACAAGTATTAGAATTATTGAATAGGACTTAACATTAGGACAGAAATCTGAGTTTCATTTAATGGATTGACAGGGCAGATAAGGAAGCATTTTATAAGGAGAAAAATAATTGGGAAGAATGAATATGGTATATGTTAACTGCAAACAAGTAGGGGAAAAAAAGAAAGATTTTATTTTTCTCAAAATGCAACTGCCATCTTAAAAAAAAGTTGTTTCTTTTATGTGCAAGTTTTCTTATTTAACATGCTTTTTCTAGCTACTACAAATATTGTAGGGGATTCATGCAACTATTTTCTAGCAAGGACCTTTGATCAGGGGAACATCATAGTCTCCTGTAGGAATTTCCAACTGTAATCAGTTATATAAATAATAATTTGCTGCAAAAAGAAGTAATTTGCAGTCGTTTTGTGTCAATTATTTGAATTTCATTTGAATAAATTATTTAAATTTATGTCAATCCTTGGAAAGGGCAATCCCATTTCAACCACTTTAAAATACTCATATATCTTAGTCTAGGTAACTAGTAAATATTGCCAGATAAATCTCAAGAGAAAAACATAAAACATGGAGAAGTATGCCAGGAAAATTGTATTTCGGGGGGGGAAAAGAAAACATATACATGTTGCCTGAAAAGTTTCAAGTAGAAAGGGCGTTGCCTTACCTGAATGCCCGTTCTGCTGAGCTCGGGGGGCCAACAGTCAGGAATGGATTAGCTCCATCATCTGTCCTAGGACTGAGTCTGCAAGATGTTAAGCTCCTCCTCTTCCTCTTGCTTCCCAGCTTTCTGACAAGGGAGATGTGGCAGACTGGCATGCTGAGCTGAAAAGACAAGATTAGTACACACACACCCGGCGAGGACCGGAAAACTCCAAGGCGGGGCTGACTGCTGGCCCCCCGAGCTCAGCAGAACGGGCATTCAGGTAAGGCAATGCCCTTTCTTTCTGAGCGTGTGGGCCAGCAGTTAGGAATGGGACATGCCAAAGCAGGAAACCTAATGGGTGGGACCTGTCCAGTCCTGAGCCGCCTACCCCATGTGTACCTGTTGCAAAACCCTGCGGCTGAAAGCTGTGTCCGAGGCATAGGCGTCCAACTTATAGTGGCAGATGAATGGGGAAGGAGTGGACCAGGTGGCTGCCCTGCACACTTCATCTAAGGAGGCCTGAGTGGACCATGCCGCTGAAGTTGCAGCACTGCGAGTCGAATGAGCTGTAATGCATCGAGGGGCTGGCAAGGCCAGGGAATCGTAGTTCGGGCAATAGTTGCCCGAAGCCAGCGCCCAATGGTGGAAGAAGTAACCTTATGGCCCAGGGATGCCGGTTGGAAGGACACGAAGAGACTCTCCGACCTCCGAATGGAGGATGTCCATTTAAGATAGATATGGAAAGCCCGACGAACGTCCAAGTTGTGCCAGATGTGCTCTAAGCGATGGGAAGGCTGAGGGCAAAAATTAGGCAACACCAATTCCTGGGTCCTATGGAAAGGTGAATTAATTAAAGGTGGACAAAGGTGGGGTCTAGTCAAAGGACAACCCTATCAGCATGGAAGATGCACAGGTCGTCCCTCGTGAAGAGGCCTTCCAGCTCTGAAACCCGGTGGGCTGAGGTAATAGCAACCAAATAGGCCACCTTGTAGGATAGGAAGCAAAGGCTTATCTCCTGCAAAGGCTCAAAGGGACCCCAGGTGAGCACACTGAGGACTTTAGGAAGGTCCCAAGTTGGGTATTGGTGAAGCACGGGAGGGCAGAAGTTCGTAGCCCCTCTAAGAAACTGCCTAATCAGGGGAAGCCTGGAAAGGGAGCCCATGGCCCCGCAGGACAAGATAGAAGAAAGAGCAGTTACCTGTCTCCGTAGTGTGTTAGGCGACAGTCCCGCCTCGAAACCGTCCTACAGGAACTCGAGGACATTCACCGTGGAAGCTTCCGTGGGAGCAAGGTTCCATCTATCACACCAGCTGCAGAAGGTGTTCCAAGTAGAGTTGTAAATGCGGGTGGTGGATGCACAGTGGGATGCCTGCAGTGTATCTATGACCCTCGGGGGGAGGTTGCGGCCCCAGAGCAGATGCCGCTCAAGCACCAGGTAGTCAGTTGGAGCCACCTGGGGTCCGGGTGGACCAATGACCCCTGGCTGAGAGACACCTTGACCAGGGGAAGCCTCCACGGAGGGGCCACTGACAAGGCCATCAGTCCATGAACCAGGGTTGACACGGCCAATAAGGAGCGATCAGGATGAGTTCTGCCATTTGTTCCAGCATCTTCCGAACAACCCTGGAAATCATGTGAAGTGGCGGGAAGGCATAAAGTAAGCCCGGAGGCCAAAGGCTGCGCAGAGCATCCACGCCCTCCACTCCCATCATCAGGAACCTCAAGAAGAATCTCGACGTCTGATGGTTGGTCAGGGAGGCAAAAAGATCGACTACTGGGTGTCCAAAGCAAAGGGTGATCTCCTGGAAGAGGGAGGGGTAGAGGTGCCACTCCCTGTGGTCCACCGATGCCCGGCTGAGAAGGTCCGCCTGAATGTTCGCCTTCCCTGAAATGTGGGAGGCCCGGATGGACCTCAAGTGTGTCTCCGCCCAATGTCCCAGTCTCTCGGCTTCCTGCATCAGGTGCTGGGAGTGGGTGCCCCCGAGGCGGTTTACATGGGCCTTTGCGGCCACGTTGTCTGTACGAATTAGTACATGCCTGTCCTGCACTTTGTCCTGGAAAACTCGGAGCACTAGATGGATGGCCCGAAGCTCCAACCAGTTTATGCTGTGGGCCAGGTCACCTCAAGTCCACCAACCATGGGCCATGTCTGAAGCCAGATGTGCCCCCAAACTGTAAAGGCTGGTGTCAGTAGTCAGAACAAGGCAGCGAGGTTCCCTGAATTCCCGTCCCCTGAGAACTGCTGGAGATGTCCACCAGCGAAGGAAGAGATGAACCTGGGGTGGAAGCCAAATCAGGAGGGCAGAAGAGCTCATATAAGCTCATTGATACGGAAGAATGAACCACTGCAGAGTCCTGCAGTGAAGACGTGCCCACGGCACAATGCCGATGCACGACACCATCTTTCCGAGGAGCTGGGAAAGCAATCGCAAGGAGATTGCCTTCCCCGATGTGGTTGTCTTGACCAGTGACCGCAAACTGGCCAGGTTGTCCTGGGAAAGATAGACCTTGCTCTGAACCGTATCTATGACTGCCCCTAGGTGTTGGATGTAGGAATCAGCTGGCTCTTGGCCATGTTGATGGAGAAACCATGACTGCACAGCATCCAAAGGGTGGTCTCCAGATCCTGTAGAGCTAGAAGCTCCAAACTGGACTGGATAAGGAGATCGTCCAAGTAGAACTGAATCCTTATCGGCAGAATCCAGAGGTGGCCTGCTAGCGTTGCCATCAATTTGGTGAACACTCGGGGTGCCGAGGAGAGGCCGAAAGGCAGAGCACAGTATTGATAGTGACGAGCTGCATGGCAAAACCAAAGAAATTTTCTGTAGGCCGGGTGAATGGGGACATGGAGATAAGCCTCCATCAGGTCCACTGACATGAGGACATCACCTTCCCTGATGCTCTCCAAGATGGTCTGGAGAGACTGCATCTTGAACTGTCGATAGACAATTTGACGGTTCAGAGACTTGAGATCGAGAATCGCTCTCCATCCCCCGAGGATTTCTGGATCACGAACAATCAAGAATAAAAGCCCTGTTCATGTTGCTCTGGTGGAACCGGTTCCACGGCCCGAATATCCAGAAGATGTTTGATTGCGAATTCCACCAGAAGACGTGTTTCCCGATGCCGTGAGAGGGGGCATCAGAGAAATCAAGTTGGGGGAGTGGAGAAGAATTCCAGAGAGAGGCCCGACCTGACCGTTTCC